AACACTAATCTCTCCCTCTCTATTTTCTATAGACAATTATTTAGTTTTTCTAAATAAACAAACTACTAGTTTACTAGTAGTTTATTTTTTTAGAAATGTTAAATGTTTTTAACATTTATCTGTTTTTATCAGACTATGGAAAGATGTAAGTGCAGAGTTTGTAAAATTGCTAGCTTGAATGGTCTTTAGTGGAAATTATTTGTCAACAAACAGAAGAATAAATCTAATAATTCAAGATTGTTTCCCACACGGATCTGTTCACACTGCTTTGCCAGTATCTACAGGGGATCAAACCACTCGAAAGATAAGTGTAAGCTAAGATTAGAAAAGTTAGTTAACATTAACAACCTAATTGATCCCAAACTGGCTGAACAGATCAGTTATAAAACAATAAAAACAAAGAAAGAATCAGGCAATTCAGTCATCTCCATTACATCCCCTAATGGTGGAAAGCTTTTGAAACTTTTGACAGAAGAAAACAACAAAACAATAGTTGAAGGATTTCTGACTATAAAGAATGTCTCTACAATACAACAGGAAGCTAGGCTGACTGATCGTCAAGTTATTTCAGTTTTGAAAAACTTGAGACTTAAATGGGGATGGAAATGTATTGCTCCTCATATAAAAGAGGCTATGAGGGATCAAAAAGGTATCTTTGAAAAGTTATTTTCTCAGGAATTAACTAAATTTCAAGACTCTAATGGGAAAGAAATAATCCGACCCTTTATCTTCTATTCCAATATCTTGGAGTTTGTGGAAAAACTAGTATATCTTAGGTAACCATAACAATTGTGGTCATTATTTGTTTTTTGAGATTTCATATTCATTATTTTAAACTATTTGATTAATATTTATATTATATATTAAATTTTAGAGAACAACCTTTCTTAGAGATGGCTTCAAAGTTTGGTCTTGATTTTGGAAAAAGACATCTGAAGCTAACTCTTACACTTTATGATGCAGATGATTTAACATTCATTAGAACTTCTAGCAGAGTAACCAGGAAAAGGGGCATTGGTTCAGGTAAAAATAACTTTAATTCTCACATACTACTTCTTTTAACTTACAGTCGTGTGCAGTAAAATAGTAGTGCGTATTTTTCTATCAACAAACTTTGAACATCAAAATATATTTTTCTATTGTTTTTTTTTTATCGCTATTGTTCATAAACTAAATGTTGTGATTATAATAGAATAAAAAAAATTTAAGAAAGATAATTGCAGCACTGTATGGTTTTAAATTTCAATATTATCGATTGAAGGTCCTTTGTATTTTTTTTAGACTGTGCAATAAAATAGAAGTGAAAAATTAATTTTTGTGTAGTAATTGCTGTACTTATCAAATTCTAATTATTATTAGTTCTTAATAATAAGCAATAAGGAAGTAATTAGTTTTGATATTAGATAAATTTATACACTTACTAAAATTTTGAAATTTTAGAGAAACATGGGGCGCTCTAAGAATTGTACTGAAGAAGTTTGTAATTTAATTATAAATCTTAAAAATCATGGTAAAATCTACAAACAAATACAAGAACTGGTTGGATGCTCACCAACAATGATTTGTAATGCTTTAAAATGGAAACCCAAACCAGAAAAATGTGGAAATAAAAGATCAACTACCGCTATTGAAGATCGTCGAATTGTATCGTTAGCAAAAAAGGAGCCATTTATTACTTCTAGAAAAATTAAAGAAAAGCTAGAATTAAATGTTAATACCTTAACTATTCGAAGACGATTAATACATGCCGATTTAAATGCAAGAACACCTAGAAAAGTGCCACTTTTGAGTAAAAGACATATCGAAAATTGTTTAAAATTTTCACGTATGCATGCTTCTTGGCCTAAAGAAAAATGGCGAAATGTTTTGTGGACTGATGAAAGCAAAGTTAAAATTTTTGGTTCCTATGTTCGTAAACAGTATGCTAGAAGACCAACGGGTGGAGCATATGAGCCACAATTTACATTAAAGACCGTCAAACATGGAGGTTTAAAAATAATGATATGGGGTTGTTTTTCTTACTATGGTATTGGGCCTATACATCGCATAGAAAGTATCATGGATTATTTTGTATATGTAAAAATACTTAAAGAGATCATGCTGCCTTAAGCTGAAGAAGAAATGCCGTTAAAATTTTTGTTCCAGCAGGATAATGATCCCAAACATACAAGCAAGTTAGCCAAATCGTTGTTTAATGAGAACAAAATTGATGTGATGGAGTGGCTAGCACAATCCCCTGACCTCAATCCGATTGAAAACTTGTGGATTAATGTTAAACAAGCAGTTTCTGAAAATAATCCGAGAGGTTGTAATCAATTGTGGGACGTAGTACAGTCAGCATGGCAAAATATATCTGTCGAACGATGTCAGAATCTTGTTAATTCCATGCAACGAAGATGCTTGGCGGTTATTACAAATAAAGGTCATGCCACAAAATACTAATGTAGAGCTTCAAATAAAAATTTTTTTAGTAATAAAACTTAATTATTTTTTGACCTTTTCATAAAAAATGATTTTCACTACTATTTTATTGCACAGTCTAAAAAAAAATACGAATGACCTTCAATCGATAATATTGAAACTTAAAACCATACAGTGCTGCAATTATCTTTCTTAATTTTTTTTTATACTATTATAATCACAACATTTAGTTTATGAACTATAGTGATAAAAAATAAACAATAGAAAAATATATTTTGATGTTCAAAGTTTGTTGATAGAAAAATAAAATACGAACTACTATTTTACTGCACACGACTGTATGTGTTTATTTTTATTAATTGATCAATAAAAAATAATTTAGGAAATCATTACAAAGATACTGGAAGGAGGAAGATTCAGATAATAGCATCAGCTCAGAAAATTCCTGAGACATATAACTGCAAGATATTCATAGAGAAGACTCAAATCAATTTTCTATTGTTTAACTTTACTGGTGACCTAAAACTCTTAAATATTGTGTCTGGAATAATGTCATGTACATCAAAATATCCATGCTTATACTGTGAATCTCCAAATAGCGAAGGAAATAAAGCCTGGCAGACAGATACATAGCTACACTCAGAACATTTGGGAATATTAAAAACCAGAAAGAGGATTGGCTAACCTCCGGAGGTAAAAAGATCAAAGCAAAAGAGTATACTAACTGTGTGGCAACTCCTTTGTTCTTTCATGAAGATGATCCTGATGACAGCTTAGTAATCCTCAAAAGTCCACCACCAGCCCTTCATCTTAAGTTGTCCCTAATTCGTGTCCTTAAGGAACTACAAAACATTTGGCCATGACTTCAGATTTGGTTAGCAGGACATTCTATTCTTTTTGAAACATATCACGGTGACACACTTGAAGGTAATGAGTGTTCTAAGGTTCTAAGACTCCTTGATAGTTTAGAGAAAGTACTTCCTATGGTGCTGTCTGGTTTTTTGACTCTACATTTGGTGTGTCTGTAGATCATGATTATAGGAATGTTTTTAAAAACCTAAGGATGTCTTTTAGGTCTTTACAGGAAGAGTTTGGAGTGTCTGAAACCCCTAAGCTTCATGTAATACTCACACATATTGAGCAGTTCATCGGCATCACAGGATTGGAACTTGGTCAGTTTTCAGAACAGGAGTTAGAAAACTCATATTCTTCACCTAGATATATGGAGAACTACTTTAAGGCTATCCTAAACTTTAATGTTTTTAATATTTAGTTACATAGTGTGCAATAATATGTATTTTCAGTCTTTATATCTATTTAAGTTGTACTTAACTGAAACAATATTTTAAATTACTTAAAAAAAAGATTTTATCCCTTTTTTTTTTTGCCGGTTTTTAAAAGCTGTTTCTCAAAATTTTCCTAACAAATGTTTTTTATTTTTATAATTTTTATAACTATTATATATATGTAAAAGAATGGCACAATACGTTTTTTTGGGTGTTTTCATAGATGTTCAGTTTCACCTTGGCACCTGGTGTACAATAACAAATAGACACTTTTTCCCTGAGAGTTGTTCTTTTTAAAAAAATGAAAAAATGATTACAATTAGATATAACAGCTGCACATAAAAAATAAATGTAAGTTAATGGGGTAGAATGAGGTTTGAGCAGACAAGAAGGAATAAAAGCTTCCATAGTACAAACATGTACGGAGGAGAAGGGAGTGTTACGTGCAATGTTACTAAAGTCAGTATGTACGCAGTTTGACTATCTCTCCTAAGTTTGATTTTATTATTTATTCTTTTAAAACATTGATGTTCACATGTAAATATTTTGAAAAAAGTGCGTTTATACACAAAGGAGGGGGGGGGGGTTCAAAAGCGTACAGGTTTGTACAAGGGGATCCTAAACCAGTGGTTTTACTGCATAAGTACTTTATGGATGCCCCCTAACAGGAATAAAGAATTCTAAACATTTGTAGTTAAAAGGTCCAAATACATGATTAGTCTTATCTGAAGTTACATGATCATTTGAAACTGATAAAAGAGATAAATGACTATCATAGTGCAAAATGAGATAAATATCATTAATTTAACTGATCATTATAAATATGATTATTTTAACTGAGAAACTTATCCCTAACAAAAACAAAGAGCAAAAACAAATGTTGCTCCATTTTTTCCAAAACCACTTTCAACCAAGCTCAGTTCTTCTAAAACTAAATTAACAACTTGGCATTGGAGCAAACTATTTGAATTAATCAAATGTTTGTTTATAATTCTGATTGAATGTACTTTTTGCAATTTTTATAAAAAAAGTGACAATTGATAGTGACCCTTAAATATTGTTCAAAAAGATTAAATTTTTTTTATATTTGGAATAATTTTTTATAACAAAACAAACAAATTAAGTTTATGGAAAAACAAATTTATGGTAACTATGAAAAATTTTATGGCAATATTAGTGTTTAAATATAAAACATTTAATGTATATAAAGGTACGCACTAACTTTTTATATATGTAATTATGTTTTATATATGTACTCATTTTTTTGTAATTAAAACTTAATAAACACCTTACCTTAAATTTGTTGGATATTGTTCAAGTGCTAAAGCATCTAAGGCATTCCAGCCGGCAACCGACACACCAGAAAAAAGGCAAGCCATGATTAAGGTTTCAGTTGGAGTTGTAACAAACCAAAAGAAAAATACACAAATGCCAGAAATTACCATTGATATAGCTAGTATTATTTAAACCATTGCTTATTAAAAAATTTAAGATCATGATTTAATTACAATCATACAACAACATTATAATATATATATATATATATATATATATATATATATATATATATATATATATATATATATATATATATATTATATATATATATATGTAATGATAATAATAATATATGTTGTAATATATATATATATATATATATATATATATATATATATATATATATATATATATATATATATATATATATATATATATATATATATATATATATATATATATATATATTAGAGCTGTTCATGTGAACACAGGAAAAAATTTTTTTTCTCGGATTTGAATGCATAGTTGTTTATTTTGTGCCATTTGACATAGTAATTGACTGTGTAAAAATTTCTTTCCAATCAGATAATGTTTAGGGGGTGCTCAATGACCATAAAGTTTTACGAAAAACGCCAAAAACGTGGAAAAAGTTCCAAAGTTCCGAAAATTTCTAGAACCTGGTTAGTTAGATTTTTTCCACTGAAATATTGTCTGATTGCGTGCTATATAGATTAATTAAAGTGCAGCAGATTAACTGTCATCAGGGCACCAGACTAAAAAATGTCTGCTAGTGTTTAAAACGACTGTGTTTATATCATTTTGTTAAAATTTGTATTCATAATTTTAATACTATTATTTAACTCAATTTAGAATTTGTTCAAACAGAATAAAAAGGTTTACAAGTATAAATATTATTTTTATTTGGAATTTCAGTTTGACAACAAATGTATTAATATTTTGATAGTACCTAACCTTAGTAACCTATTACAGAAAACTAGCATGGTAGTCTGGTAGTGTATTGTTTTTTATTAAGTGCAGATAATAATAATTTCTAATTTGAAAATATTTATTTAATTTCTTTAGTAATAATTATTATTATATATTGCTGCAGCTGCATAAACCAACAACTGAATGATAAGTTTGTATAATATGGTATTGAGTTTTGATTTTCTCATATTTTTTCAGTTATCATTGAAATGGCAGCATCATCTCGTGTTGCTATCTCTACATGACTTCAAACCGAAATCTTTTTAATTGGACAACCAGAGCCAAATCTTCCAGATAAAGTTCTTCCCTTAACATCTGATGTTTTAAAAACATTTTTTTATCATCTTAATTCAACCAAAAAGTCAGTGCCTGAAAGTCTTAAAACAACTGTTGATGAACTGATTATTATTTGGAATAAAGCCCGTATTCCGACAGCATTTCATCCGAATGTAGTCTTAAAGTTGAAAACTTTAGTCCAGGAATTTAAATTAATAAAAAAAAAAAAATCCAGATTGTCAGATTCTCAGAAATCAAGAGAGAAATCATTTACAGACACCATTGGCCTACTTTTTGACATTGCCCACAAGGATGCTGAAACCATGATCAGAATTGAAGAAGATAAAGAATTTTTATTGGATCAGAGATGTCAGAGAAAAATGGTGATGTTTGGAGAGGACAAAGAACTTTCAAAATTAGAAGCAAGAAATGAAGCAAGGAAACAAGCAGAGAGAGAACGAAAGCTAAAAGAAGATCAAAGACAATCTGGTGCGAGTGCAATAGTTCCTGTTATTGAACCTTTACATGACGAAAGTTATAGTGATGACAACGATAACGATGCTGTTGATAATGACAAAATGGTTGATAGAGATTTTGAGATAGAAATCCCTGTTTATTACAGACAACAAGTCAGTAAAGCAAGTTCTTCAGGGTCAGCTGAATCAAGTTTAGCAAGTACTCCAAAACGACAATGTATCTTAGATACAATTCTTGACTCGCCTGATGTTTCATCAACATTAGACAGAATTAATCTATCTGACACAAAATTTACTATACTAGCAGCAGCAATTGCAAGGGCTGGTGGACAGAACCTCGATGATGGATCATTGTCACGTTCTACAGTCCGTAGAAAACGAACCTATCATCGATCAAACATTGAAGCCACTGTTCGAACTGAATTCTGCGATTTGGACAAACCACCATTAATCGTCCACTGGGATGGCAAACTGATGATAGATCGTACAAATTCTGCAGACCCTAAAGCAAATGTTGACCGGCTATCTGTAGGTGTGAAAGGTCACAATGTTGACAAAATACTTGGAATAGCAAAACTATCAGCTGGAACTGGAGAAGCCCAAGCAAAAGCAGTTATTCATCTGCTTAATTTCTGGGACATAATTGGTGATGTTATTGGAATGAGTTTTGATACTACAGCCTCTAACACTGGCTCCGAAAATGGTGCATGTGTAGTTCTAGAGAAACATATAGGTAGAAATTTGTTATATTTTGCTTGCAGACACCATGTTCATGAGATCATAGTAGCAGGAGTGTTTGGATCACTATTTGGACCATCATCTGGTCCCAACATACCTCTTTTCCAGAGATTTCAGCAATATTGGCCCAAAGTTAATCAAGGAAATTTTAAACCTCTGGATGACAATCAAATGAAAATACCCCTGGTGCAAGAACTACAAAATGAAGTGATGGCATTCCTCAAAGAAAACCTGCATGTTAAAATGCCAAGGGATGACTACAAAGAAATCATGGATCTCTGTCTGTTAATACTTGGAAAACTGCCTGATCAAGAAGAGAAGAATTATCATTTCAAGATCCCTGGTGCTTATCACATGGCTCGCTGGATGGCCAAGGTTATTTATTGTTTTAAGATTTATTTATTTCGTGAAGAGTTCAAGTTGACCACAAAAGAGGAAAAAAATCTCTGTGAATTTTGCTTATTTGCTAGTCTGGTTTATGTAAAATCTTGGATATCATGCCCAAATGCCAGCGATGCTCCAGTTAATGACTTGTTTCTGTTTCAGCAACTTAAGCAGTTTGCAGTTGTGAATAAAACGATTTCCGAAGCAGCAGTCAAGAAATTTCAAAACCATTTGTGGTACCTTTCACCAGAATTGGTCCCACTAGCTTTGTTTTCAAACAAACTTAAAACAGAAGAGAAGCGAAAAATGATTTCCAACATGAAATTTCACGGTGAGAACTGGTCTGAAAGGTTGATCAAATTAAAGAACATTGAAAGTCTAGCGAAGAAATCTCTGGACATGCTGGTGACATCAGTTTCAGCAAGTGCGTTGCGGTCAATGAAGGTTAATATTGATTTTCTGTTCAACAACGATCCAGCTACCTGGAATGATTCCCCAGAATACCAAGAAGGAAAAAATTTAGTATATTCATTGAAAGTAGTAAATGATGCTACCGAACAATCTGTGGCTTTAATGTCGATGTTTAAATGAATCGATTACAAGGAATGAATCTGAAATGCAGAGGTTAATTCAGGTGGTTGAGGATCACAGAAAGCGAGTGCCAGATGCCAGAAAGTGTACTCTGAAGAGTTATAGTCCTCGCTAGCATTAACATTGCACGAACTATAACATTACGATAATTAAATGTTAATTGCTCATATGTTTTTGAGTTGACCTACTTAGTAGTTGATAACGGTTTGAGAAACTGTTACTCCTTTACAATAATTTTTTTTGTTTATAATTCGTATTTTAATCAATGACAAAGAGTCAAAAATCTTAGTGTTTTATTTTGGAAAAATTCTGATATAACAAAAACCGCAGAACTTTAGTCGTATTGCAGTATTTTATTTCATTAATTTCTCTGCTAATAAACCAGTATAAAGTGGATGTGGATTGTAATTTGTATTCAGAATTTAATATTTAGAGATAATTAAAACTGATCAAATCTGAAAAATCTAATTAACCGGGTTTTAGAAATTTGTGGAACTTTGTTACTTTTTTCATGTTTTTCACATTTTTCGTAAAACTTTATGGTCATTGAGCACCCCCTAAACATTATCTGATCGAAAAGATTTTTTGCACAGTTAATTAATATGTCAAATGGCACAAAATAAACAACTATGCAATCAAATCTGAAAAAAAAAATTTTTTGGACAGCCCTAATATATATATATATATATATATATATATATATATATATATATATATATATATATATATATATATATATATATATATATATATATATATATATATATGTAATGTATATATATGTAATATAAATATAATATATATATATGTAATGTATATATATATATATATATATATATATACATATATATATATATATATATATATATATATACACATATATATATATATATATATATATATATATATATATATATATATATATATATATATATATATATATATATATATATATATATATATATATATATATATATATAGGCTTTCACTGGAAGACGTGCGATTTCACATCTTTATATGACCACGCAAGTTACATTTTGCTAAAACGGTTTGACTGCGGCTAATTCAAAAAGCATTTTAAAAACCCGCTAAATAAAAAAAAATATATATAAAAAAGTGAAATTAATTACATCAAAACTTTTTAACAAATGTTTTTATATCAGCGAAACGATTTTAAATAAAGAAACAATTTACTGAAAAAAAGTTTTATTTTTTAAATATAATTGACAATTGTATATATTTTTTGAATTTAAAACATATAAATTGTTTAAGTGTTCATTTCTAAAATAAATCTTATTAAAAAATAAAAAATTGTTTTGTTTTTATAAACGATGACATTCTACGACTATGAAAGTCTCTTTAACGAATTTAAATATAAGAATGATTAAAGTTAATGCATTTAAAAAGATAAACAAAATTTCATTAAAAAAACCGTTACAATTTAATAAGTTTGATCTTAAATGCTTTTATATTATTGAAACGAAAATAAAAAAAAAACACTTCTAATTAATTTAAAAAAAAGTATTTATAAAATGTTTTTTTATTTTATTTATATAAATATGTATTTTTTATGAGAAATATTTAACTTTTGAACATATTAAACAAATAAAAAATATATTAAAATGTTGAAACAAAGATTGAAAAGGTTTTTTAATGCGTAAATTAAATAGACAAGCATTTTAGTTTGATGAGTTTTGTTTTATTATATATACGTATGTAATAC